GGTTGATAGTGGAGCTTGTTGGTACATACTTGTATATATATTTGACAGCTTGAACCAGGGGAAGATATAGAGAAATTGAGACAGGAGAGAATAGACAGCTGACTACCAACGATTATTTAGTGGGAACTTCTTTTTCCTTGCGTGTTTTCAGACACCAACAAAAATTATTACATATTAAAACCTATTATACTAATATAATAATGCATGTGTATGTTTACAAAATTTCCACATTACCTAAACCTAAACTAATATTTTAAATTCACCCGCCACAAGCTCATACTGCCATTTTCTGGACCGTGACGCACCGTAGATATTGTCTCTCCTTTTTGTGAATAGTGATGGACGGGGTGCTGACGCACCCACTCGCTTGTTCTTCGATTGCAAGCGCCTCGAGCATCTCGCGCGCATGAGTATTGTTATTACTGGCTAGGATGGTTATGTCCTTGAACGCTGCACTGCAGTGGCAAGTCCTGCAATGAGCTGCAAGATGCCCTGCCGACGTTCCTTTAAGGGATGCTGCGTGCTCGCGGGCTCTGTCGTTAATGCATCGTCCCGTCTGGCCGATGTAGCACTTCCCGCATGAAAGGGGAATGTTGTACACCACTCCTGTCATGCATGGTACATAATGTGTTCTGTGGGCAATGTCGCACGTTTTTTCTTTGCCTGTTCTGTTGTTAACTCGTCTGCACATGGAGTACGCTTTGTTAGGCGCGGAGCATACTACTTGGATCTCATTCCTCACGGCGATCTTTTTCAATTTGTGCGTAATCCCGTGAACGTATGGTAGCACAGCGATCTTCCTTCGGGTTTCCTCGTTTACTTTTTTGCCCGACTTTGCACTCTTCAAGTTTCTGCAGATGGTCTCACAAACGGGTACCAAGATACTTGTTGGGTATCCCGAATTCCGTAATCGTGACATCTGTTTTCCAAAGCTCTGCCCTATCTGGTGTTTACATGATTTGTTTAAGGCAGAAACTAACGCCGTGCTGGCGACACCTCTCTTAATAGTTCTTGAGTGGCCAGAGGTAAACGGCAGAAACCCTTTTGCTGACCGGGGTTCGTACCTCCAGCAAACGTGCCCTTGTTGGAAAATTAGCGCGAGGTCTAGGAATTTGATATTTTTGTCCACAGGTGATTCATGTGTGAACACCAATTCGGGGCAACTTTCTTGAAACACTTGCAGAATAGTATCCTTGCATTCTTCACTCTGGTCGTCACCTTCTGTGGCACAAAGTACTAAAATATCGTCCACATATCGGAAGATGGCTGTGACCCTTGTATCTGTCAGATTACTTGCGATGATCTTTCCGCATGCCCCCAGGAATAAGTCACACAATTGCGGCGCTACCCGAGACCCAATACACACTCCACTCTTTTGCACATACTGTTGATCTTGAAAGTCTACTACAGTGGAAGTCAAATATACACCTAATAGTTCCAAGAAGGTGCTCACACTTAGTCCAGCAGTATTCTGAAACGCTGTAGAGCCCTGCTCTTCGATGGTGGATCGGAGAATTGCCATGAGTTTTCTGTGTGGGATTGAGTAGTACATATCTTGGATATCGATGGAAAATCCAGATGTGACGCTTTCTCCATTCTTCTTAAAGAATGGAGACAGGAGAGAATAGACAGCTGTCTATTCTCTCCTGTCTCAATTTCTCTATATCTTCCCCTGGTTCAAGCTGTCAAATATATATACAAGTCTGAAATACGTTTCAGATATTAAACGTATTTTTTATATCAAGATACATAGTTCGGCGATTTATTTATTACAATATACGGTGACAACAAATGATTTGTTTCATATTTCGTAGGATTGCGGTAAATGCGGAAAAACTATATTTATTTATTTATTTATTTAAAACACCCTCAAGGCCATTGGCATTACAGAGGGGAGTGGGGGTTAGTGGCAGTAGTACACTTCGCAGCTCAATTTGAGCAGCATTGATTATTTATGGCAGTCCTAAATAAATGGTCAGGAACAATTGTTGCGATAGATGCGGGAAGGTGGTTCCAATCCACTGAAGTTTTCGGAACGAATGACTCTTGGAATGCATTAGTGTTGGATTTTAGAATGTCTACTTTATACATATGATCAATGCGAGGTGAAATATAAGAAGGTATATAAGAATATAGAGAGCTATAGCATAATGGTAAAGACAATCACAGGACGAGCAGTACAATAACTTATGACAGACCACACAGAAGGCAATGCGGACAGAAATTCGTCTGCCATTTGCGCAGTAGTTGCTGTGACTTCAGAAGGACGCCGAGATCTGATTGGTTTTAACTGAAAGGATAGAAAGTAGACCTTAATACTAGATGCGTCGACGTCTACCCACAATTTTGTTTAATGAGTCAATAAGACTTCGGCGTTCTGACATCATCGCAACGCCTCCCCTTTGCAAGAAGCATACAAACTTATGCTCCACATAGAGAGCTGAGCTAACCATAGAAAAAGTTATAGGCACCACTAGCTCAATGCGTAAAGACAACTTTAGAACGAGCTATATAACTGGCTATTTCATACCATACGGGGGGCAATATACGGCTAAAAAGAAAGTACAAAAATATATATGAGCGGGCATAGCATAATGACTAAAGAGAACCAGAGGAAGGGCTATAAAATAGGCTATAGCAGACCATACGGAAGGTAATAGACGGCTAAGAAAACCTTAGGAATATTTAAAAGCAGCTATAGCATGTTGTGTAAAGAAAACTATAGGGCGTGCTGTCGAGAAAGCTATAGCCGACCATATATAGGGCAATAGGCGGCTAAAGAAATGATAGGAAAATCCGTAGGCGGATGTAGCAGGCTGGCTACAAAGACCCATAGAGCAAGCCTTAGAAATCTCTATAGAGGACCATAAACGAAGCTATATTTGGCTAAAAAAAGGAAAATATATAGGACGCTATAAAAAGCTGTTTAAAGAGGCCCATAAGGAAAGTCATGCAAATATCATCGCAGTTCATGCAAGTAGCTATAGAGAACTTAGGGAACCATAGGGAAAGCCATAGGCAACTATAGCAAGCTGACGAAAGAGACCTATAGTCAAAGCCATAGAGATATTTAGAGCAGTCCATACATAGATATATAGACGGCTAAAGGACGAAAGTAAAAGATATAGGCAGCTATAGAATGTTGGCTGCCTATAGCTTATGGTTTGCCCATAGAGTAAACCCTACGCCATTATATAGCTGACCATTAAAAAGGTACAGACTGCTTAGGTAACCAATGATTGGCCATAGAAAAAGGTAGACACCCATGGAGGAAACAAGAGAAAAAGCTAAAAACAGCCAAAGAAGCGGTTATAGATAATTGTGCATTTTGTTACAACCTGCCATACAAATTGTTTTCCATAGCCGACAATAGAAGGATTTTGTATGGGAATGTTGTCGTTTTGGACGTGAAGATACACATAAGGTGTTTAGACTGGGGCATACTTGTGTCCATTTCTTCTTTTGTTCCTTTCACAATTCTCTTTTTGAGTGTAGGCGTTTTAAAAAGGACAGTTCCTATAGTGGTCATCAAAAAAATTTGTGTGTGGTGCGACAGATTTTAGTTCGCTAGCACTGGGAAATGACATATCTTCAGTAGCACAGAGGAAGCCGCTCGTTCAAGGACTTTGCTAAGGACTCCTGTTCTCAATACACGAGTATATTGATAAACACCAAAAACGCACGTTCAAGCCGGTTTGATCAAAATATGAAAATAAAAAAAAAGTAAATGAAAGAGCCCACGCTTCAAGAAACGAAATCTTTATCACCCTACTTAATTCTTTCACTCGGAAAGAAACCTTCGTTGAACTAACCAGGTTGTTTGCTTTTTCCGGAATCACACCCATTACATAGTATAAGCTTATCAGTCTTTTCACGTTTTCGAAGTATTCGCAACAGATTCACGCTTCCTTGGGCTTATGGAATCCTACCTCCATGTGCTCTTTTACTCAGCATATTCCCCGATACATACCCTATATATTATGCAGCACTAAAACCCCACACTAAAAAAACACCAAAGACAAAACAAACATTAAGCGCCCGCCTAACAGCGCCCTCATTCAAAGAAACCTGAACCCCGAAGAACAGGAAAACAAACTACAACCCGCCGCTCACTCAGATGGGGTGTTCCTGGGGGCCTCCCCAATCGGCTGAACGCGGTTGGGCTGGAAGCATCGCGCGGTGTATTATAAGAAGGGTTCACTGTTCCAAAAACTAGGATGGATATTCGCCAATAAAATTTCTGTCAATTCGGATTTACCCGAAAAAACTTAAAATTTTGATGTCACGAGATGGGGCACTTCTGCATTTGAGAAAACACTCTTGAAATGCGTTCATTTGGCCTTCAGAATAACAAATATCACAATTATGTTTCAATGTGACGAGCCGGAGAGCCATCAGAGCAATTTCAAAATAGGGCCGAAGCCCCGCTTCCCTAGCCTTGGGCAGCCAAAAGAGCCGTCAATGACGTCACGGACAGCGACTGTCTTTCGCGTTTTCTCGCGTTTAAAAATATTTGCACAGCAAATGATTTGGGTACTCGGGTTCACGGCTTAAAATTGCACTAGAAATCAATTTTAACTCATATTTTTTTAAGAAGCTCCGTAGCTTCCCTTTAAAAAGCAAAAAAAAAGTAGTATGTATTTTCTAATTAACTGCATGAGAGCGCAGGATCAATGATCTTCATAAGAGGGCACTTCTGTTTAGTTTGAAATATAGGACTATTGAAAAATGGAGAACACCACTTATTCCATCAAGCTTCATTAAACCTTTGGGCCATTGTACTTCTGTGCCACGACGAAAGTATCTATTCCGGTATTTATAGTATTGTCAACAGTCAACATTCGAGGATGCATTCGTTGAGATATTTTTTTTAACTCTTTCATGATAATTCGCACATATGGTTGTTGTTGCATAAAATATTTGAGACGATGGTACTGAGACAGCGAGTTGTTGACTTTTATACGCGCTATTGCTAGGAGGCACTAAATGTAGCTCTGAACCTTAAAGTGTCGTTGAATCTGATGGTTGCTGCGCTGTGAAACACCACGGACACCTCTGCAGTTAGGCATTCGTAGTCACTGGATTTCAAGCCCATTTTTTCATCCGTGAGGTTGCCTTCGACGACTTGTAGCTTGTTCAAGCTACTTGGACATTCTTGACGCAACCGATTGAAACACTGCATGAGGAGATAAGACACTGCATGAGGAGACAAGAATTACTTGCTCGTGAAAGTATGCTCCGATTTGAAAATAAAATAAAATATTATTTGGTCTCATGCACGCAACGCAGTGCAATGTCGAATACTCGAGAACGTATATTTCCCCGTCCGAACTGAACGATATAAATTATGTTTGCCACAAAAATCAGTCACAAACTGTCTTTCTTAATAGTTGTATTTGTTTTTAATATTACGCTATTTTTATGCAGCATGAACTAGCGCTCACGTAACACATATTATTTGTGACGCTGCTGACATATAAAGTCCTGTCTCACTCGCAAAATGGCAGATATAAGTATTCTAACACTTGGAGTAAAAAAAACAAACAAACAAATATCTACTGAATTGAAAGAAGTTAAAATCCCGAAGACTTCAAAATTTGCAAGGACGTGGACAAGAAACGCAGCGCTGAGTAATCTATGTCGTGTAGATTCTCGTTCATTCTAAGTTTTATTACGTTATACAATTTTTAGCGATAAAACTGGTTTACCTAATATCCCCGTTGGTGCAGTAAAATCTAGTGTTTTCATATCGTGTACACGATCATCGTCATGTGTCAAGTAGACTTTGAATCATTGATTTTGTTATAACATGATTTGATTCTTGTGTCTTACGCAATTTGTACGGTTAATCTGCTTCGACATTATAGTAGGAGTGGTGTATTTAAAATACTTCCAAACACAGAGCGCTGGAAACAGCGTAAAACAAAAGACAATCTCCAATAAAGAAGTAGTTTTCCTAACATCAGGGGGCAAGCAATTAAAATTTGTAGTTTCTCTAGTAAACGAGAACAAAAATGAGTATTTTTTAAGTATATGGTTTCACTGTTTAGTTGCAAAAACTGACTAGTTTATCAAAAGCAGAGAAAACTTGATCTCTGTTTAACCTAAACTTCTGATTAACGACTAGAGAAATTGATTTTATGTATTTTATTATCCTTAGTATTTGCAAGGTTTCCAAGCTTTGCCTGATGCAAGGTTTTGTTGGAGACAAATTTAGGAATGTTTACTATATTTACAAAGCACTTTGTTAGTCTTAACATTTTTGAAGTTTTGAATTAAAACATGGTGTGTGCAATTTTCAAATTGCTAATCGATATACTAGCATTCATCGGACCCCATTTTGATCAAATAAAAACTTGGTATCGAAGATGCCTCACCTCAGGTACCTTCAGCTGAAACACAGCTAACATATGACTTTATGTAATTGCCATATAACGGGTTAGGTATCGTTTGTGAGATTTACCGGTCATGAGACTATATTTAAGGTTTGCCTCTCTCCAATCTTTAGCACTCCGTTTGCAGAACCTATTATTTCATTACACATAACGGAATCCGTGAACAATTTTATTTAAACTGCAATTCCACAAGGCAAATGATACAATTAAAAGAACTGATAACAGTTTTTGTAGGATATATGCTACTCGTTTTGTGCCAGAGCAAGCAGTATAAATTTACTTGAGCTACCTTAGAGTGAAATGCCTTTCAAGCCACTAAAATATCTTGATATAGAACAAGGTCTGGTTTATAAAGTAACATTTGATGTTCTGCGCAGTCGAGGGGTTTGATAACTCCCATGCAAGGTTAGGTTTATCTCTTCCATTCAATACATACGTATACTAGTTTACAGTTTTCATCGGTTGGAGTTACGATAGTAGCCTTTTTACCGAACCATGTTGGAAACTTAATATTTACTCTGTTCACGGTATGTTTATATAGGGTAGAGCCAAGAGTCTACAAGGCCTGCGCGTGACGTTTCGTTAGCGGATCCCCGACCCGCCCCGAGCGGCAAACACCCCGAAGCTTGACGAGAATACGGGCCGAGTGAGGCCGCGACTGCTGAGCGCGAGCAAAGCGCGAGCTGATGGCGAGCTTCCACAGATCACTTGCACCGTGCATGAGACACCATCAAGATTGCCGGTCTCAGCAGCCTATCAATGTGAGCTCATTTTGAGATCACAGTAACACGCCATTGAAGCAGACAATGAAGCAGACAATGTTGCTCGTCCGGGCTACCTAGGGGGCGCTAAGGGGATCTGCTAGTGATGATGTTTAGAGGAAGGAACGCGCAGTCCTTGTTTTCTACTTGATATTGGTAGAGAACCGCGTGTTTCAAAATGTCATTAAATATAACCATTATTTTGTTTTTCGGATAATAAGATTGTAATTTGGTTCCCTCAAATATTGAGCCCCGCGTGTAAAGGGAGTTTGACTTTATCTTCAACGGAATAAGGGGATGACCGGTGCAGGTATACTAGCCTCGGCGGATGATAGATGAGACGAAGACCGTCACGTGGAGTAGAAAAAAAAAAAAAACAACGAACATATGATAAATATTTTAGGAATGACTGGATGGCCATGCTGCCGTATCAGTTTTTGAAAGGCAGTCATTAAGAAAGTGTGAATGAATTGAACATTTAAAACGTCAAAATAGCGCGAGCTGAAACAGACGAAATACGAAACATGTACGACAATCACGTAGTTGTGGCCGTGTTTATGTCGGACAGAAGGTCGTTGCTTAGCGCTAGGGCTAGGGGGATTTCGAGAAGCATTGTTAGTGTGGGGGTTGCGAATCGCTTTAAGATGTGACGAAGTTTGTAAAAAGAGCGAACGAAAAGACTGGGAGAGAAATTGTTGATGCTTTCTTAATGTAGTACGCCTTTGAGAAGTGTGTGGACATGCCGTCTATACTTCTGCTAACTAAAGAAATTAATTTTTTAGCTGGCGTCATAGAGGACTGCCGCCGTGTTATCGGTTTGTGGTTTTTTTATCTATATGGTGAACGACAGACTAGCTGAGTGAATGTTCCTTCAAGAAAATTTGTTGTATGTGACGTCTGTCATTGTGGTACGTGTTTCTTTTTTCGCCGTTTTTTAAGTTCATGTTTTTTTAACCTTCTCACTTATATGAAACAACTAGACCCTCCCAAAGTTTTAAACAATTAAAATCACTTACCAAGATGCAAAAGATTCTAAGATACTTCACGATTCGTTTTTGGTTTTTCTTCCCCAGTTTCAAAAGTGGACGCAGAAAGAACTATCGAAGTCCTGACTATAATAACACCTAAAAGAGTGTCGCAGTCGTTTGAGTCACGTCGTCACTATTCCAGAAGTGTGTCTTTGGTTGATTTGACGACGCCACACTGCCCGAGATAGCAACAAGACGTCAGGAACGGGCGGTCCCTCGTCGGCGCGTAATTTTGGAATGGGCTCGTGGCGCTTTTTAAAGCGCAGCTCTTAAGCGCCCGTTTCCGGCTTGAGCGCCGTTCCCGTCGCCGTCGGCGTAACCGCGCATTGCATTATGGGACGTTTCCCATAATGACGTCACACGTAGCGTCACGTGTGACGTTACGAGGGTTACTTTCGTGAGGCTTACTAGGGTTACCCTCACGATGGTCACGAGGGTTTCCCTCACGAGGGCTACGAGGGTTACCCACAAGAGGGTCGCGATGGTTACCCTCTCGAGGGTCACGACAGTCGCCCTCATGATGGTCACGAGGGTTTCCCTCACGAGGGTTACCCACACGAGGGTCACGATGGTTACCCTCACGAGGGTTACGAGGGTAACGTCACGACGTTACCTCGTGACGTCACACGTGAAGTCACGTGTGACATCACAATAGATAACACGTGACGTATGACGTCACGTGTTAGATGCGTGTGACGTCACGTGATGTCACACGCATCTAACATTGCCAATATTCCTGCTAAATTTGCCCTCGTGACGTCACGTGTCACAACACGTGTGATGTCACGAGAAAAAAGTTTCCTGCTAAATTTAGAGGAAAAATTTCCCCGCTAAATTTAGCAGGTATGGAAAAGGGGCATACCCTCTCCTCCGTACCCTCCTTTCCTCCTACTCAAGAGCTGCACTCTAATTTGGCGTTAAAGAGAGTCATTAACTCCTTTCAGTTTTTTTTTAGTTTTGGAATTTGGTAAGAGAAACAAAACAAACTGGTCAAATTCATATATCAAAACGCGTTACACTTCGGTTTTCTATAAACTGGTGTAACCTCTCATGCTAATGATCGTCAAAATGCAAGCACAACATAACATACCTAACCGTAAATAAAAATAAATAAATAAAAGACTTAACACACTTAGGTGATCATACTACTGGTCCTCGCGGTTATCCTCCAGTACAATAGTCTCCGAACCATGGTCTTTATCTTCCGGTAAGTTTTTTATTTACCGATTGGTTCAAATTATGATAAAACAGTGTGCACGCCATTAAGGTTCAAACTAACCTATTGAGCAATTTCATTTGTATGAGAAATTTTTGTGTCCAATAAACATATATGAATCATACAAGATATATAAGAACATATAACAACCGTATGAGAACCATATAAGAACCACATAAGAAACTTGTGAGAAGTGTCTTATAAGTGCCTTATATGGTTCCTATATGTATTTATATATCTTATACAGTACGTATATAGTTCTATACGCTTCTTATGTGTTCTTATATATCTTGTATGATTCATATGTGTTTATTGGACACAATCAATTTATCATACAAATGGCTTTTTCACTAGGGTACTGCGGTGGTGGTTTAGTTATTTATGGCAACCATTTACTTTGTTAACTATTGGGCAGTTTTTCGAACTAAATAAAACGTTGCTTTGGCCATGCTTGCGCGATGATAAGGAACACAGAATGCAGAGAATGAGATATATTACCTCTGAACCTAAGAAAACTTCCAACCTTTCTGCTGGACTCGAGCCTTTCTTTGGTCGGATCAACAAGTAAATTCGCTCGATGCCTGGGCACGAACGCAGCAATTTTTCCACCAGCACCTAGAAACAATCATTCCCAAGCGTAATAGGGAGAAAGATGTGTGCTTACTCTGTTTTTCAAATAAATGTAGGTCAACGTTTACAAAAAAAAATGATTCAATAAGCTTTGGATAATAAAGCAATGGAGCTATAAAGCAGTTCAGAAAAAAGATAATGTGAAGGAAACTCTTTATATATTAAGGTGCATTCATTATGCTTACATAATTTATAAATATATATTTACATTTTATTTTTTGTGCTGCACAATAATTGCACTGATCGCTTTCAGATTTAGTCGAAGAAATCCCGGGCACGGGATTGATTTCACAACCTCAGAATGTGTATATAAGCCTGCACATAAAAGGTATATAAGAGCGTGAATATCAGTGTGTTAAGCGTTTATATAAAATATCCATGGAAAAATGATTGGCCATCGTCAAGAATTGGTTCAGGGATTTCCTATATACAGGCTTATTTTCTGTCAAATCTGCATTTTATGAACCTTATAGATCGAGCTGTTTTAGGCAGCCTTTCTGAAAAATAAGTAGCCTTCAGTTAACAAACAATTTTATCTTCATGAGGCCCACTGCCAATTAAAATACTTCACAATACATACATGATAGTTTTGCTACCGTTGAACAGAAAGGACCTTGAGTGAACACCTATTAATTTGCACTGGACTCATTACTAAGAATTCTTCCGTTTGTTAGACATTTTTTCTCATGAAGGACGCTTCAATTCAGTCCATGAATATCCAGATTTATTAAACGTACCATGCAAAATTAAAGCTGGGCTAGCAACACATCTACAATTTTACCACGTACGCTCATTGAAAACATATCCCAAAATCAAAACATCTGCTTTCACAACATTGATTATTTTTATAGTTTCAGACCACGTTTTTTAATCAAAGGTCTAATTTTCCTCGAAAAAGTCCTCTTATAGGATGAAAATTTCATTTAACTGCATCTCAGAATATTACAGAAGATGTGATTGTCTTGGTAATAAGCTACAATTGCTTAATGACAGAGCGTATATATCGTTTCTCGTAGTTACATATTTACTAGAGCAGATGGGAATCAAAATTAATATTTAAGTTTTCGAATGTTGTCAAAGAGTTATTTTTTATAAGCAAACGTGTTTTGGGAGTCTGAAAATTACCTGGCAATTAGTACACACTGTCTATTAAATTACTTTGGGCTTTTAAGTGTGCATGTAAAACACTTGCTTAGAAGTACGTACGCACTTTGCCAAGAAATCCAGTGGAACCTGTGATGAAGATTACTTGGTCTTGATAAAAGCTTTGCACCTTCGAATATCCCGCTTCTTCGGCCACTGAAACAGCACGCAAAAACACAAGGTTTCCGTAGTTACCGTTTAATCCTAATTTGTTGGCAGAATTCGTGTGACTTGAAGTCAGTTGCGTTCTCTAAAACGCAAGGAGGCTTCGCTATCGAGTTAATAAAAGAGATCAATGTTCCACCATGTATAAAAAATCAACTTGCCTCTATTCACCTATGAGGAAGGGCATTATCTAATTGGGAATGGCACACATGAAAAAAAGTGAGTTCAAGCATGGGAACTATTGCAATCTTAATTCTCATTTGGTAATGTTACAACGTAATCTGAAAGTTTCTACAAAATTGGGACACAAATTAAGGCAGAACAATTGAGATACCTATCATAAATAAAATTACTGATATTACGTCAATTGAAAACTGAAAGGCAGAAACAAAAAAAACTTTCAAGATATTTGTGAGGGTTTGGGTCCTTAAAAGTCCGGGGAACATCTGCGACGACGTGTAGCTTTTTGGCAAGTACAGCATGTTTGTTTAAAGAGTCAAGAACTAATTATATATTAAATAACTTCAAGGTTATACACGTTAAAAACTAGGGGAGAAACGCATGCATCAAATACATAATTGTAACCCTGGAGAGTCTGGAAACAGAGGGTCAGGACGACTTCACAAAAAGACTCCGCTAAAACGTATTAATAGCATACAATGTTTTAGTAAGAACACCGATGCCCACGACATTATTTAACTAATTATAAACACCAGACGATTTTGCTATAGCGCTGTTTCTTCTATACACAACACGCAATAGTGCAGCTCAGGCTAAAAACAACCCGCTCTGAAACTTTAGTGTTGTTTTTTTGTACTTCAAATGTCCCAAATGAAGTTTCTACTTTAGCGACGTCAATGTTCTCAAAAGGTATATCGAAAATGAAAATGTCTCCAATCGGTTTTGTTCAAACAAAGGCAAGCAGAATTTCCTTCATCCTTCGAATAATTTTGATATGCACAATGCGCTGACGGTGTTTTTCATACTACGAGTTGTATATCACTGTTTTTGATATTTAACAATCTTAGACGTCTTTCATATTTAGTTTTACGTTTCGGCGAATATTTTTTTTTAATGAATCACAGACAGAACGCATATACGTCGCTCAATTCTATATTGCTTCACCATTCGCTGCGCGAATGGCGAAGCAGAAGGACACGCGTGTGGATGTCAGCTGCTCCACTGGATTTCACCACAAGCAGCAACACATTGTTTGCAGTGTGTGTTTAACTCGCTTTCACTGCAAGTGCGAGAATATCGTCAATTATGACTACGATCTACTCATGAAATATGGGGTGAGCCACTACTAGTGTGCGAAATGCGCCGAGCGAAAAAACGAAACAAAAAAACAACGACGACGACGAAGTTCGCACACCAAGAATTTGAACCACGAAATCTACGGTGGACGCAGCAGCGGATACCGATGACGTTCCGTGTACTGCAGGTTCTTCGACATCAAAGAAAGACATACAAACTCTACTGGAAGAGCTCGTCGACAACTTTGCATGACTAAAAGAGGAAGATATCTCGTTACGTCGAGAGGTTTGTCGTCTCAACGACACCGTTTCTTTGTTCGTGAGTCAACGCTCCATGAATATTTTAGACAGAACTGACGGTTCTCCTTCGTTGTCCTATGCCTCTGCCACTGCAGAGTTTCCCGCCTTGAGTTACCGACAGCAAGACCTAACGAGACCTCGAAATTCGCTGACAGCTGACACTTGGATGAATACGTCGCACCAACTGGGCCCCTTCCACCTGCAGCGTCTACAGTCCAACAAGACTCCGTTCCGCGAAGTACCGTGGTGCTACTGCAACGTAATGCATGATTTTTCTTTGCATTTTAACCTGTAGCCCCATGGCCGAATACCATGAACTTCTCTTGTCTTCTAAACTAAAGCGATATGCAGGATTTGAAGACTCGACCACAATATTACATTTAAATTTACGTTCTTTGAAATGTAAAAGTTATCTTTTTATTACTCTTTTAGATCAGCTCTGTGTTTCGTTTCAAGCGGAGATTCTTTCCGAAACATGGTACGTAACAGATGACGATGTTGTTATAGTGTCGGGGTACAATCATTTTTTTTAATCGAAGCGGAAATCGAGGGGGAGGTGTTTTTATTCATGTTAGACAGTATATAAGGTGCGAAGTACTCGATATCTTTACCGAAATGACAGACGACTATGAAATTGTAACTGTGAAGCACGGACGTAAGCTCCTTTCTGTTATATATCGACCGCCAGCTGGCAACATTAATAATTTATTGTCATTTCTTGAGAAGTATCTTGATTTCATATCCTTGGAATTACTAATCACTTGTTCTGGGCGGTGGCTTAAATGAAAATATTTCGGAAAACTCTTCTTTTTCTTCACGACTGAGTAGTACATTCAGTAGTAGTAGTTTTTGCAATGTGGTTCTGTCCCTACCTGAATTACCCATTCTACGGCAAGTTGTATCGACGTTTTTATTACGAATATAAAAACTATAGTTCGCAGTGCAGGTACTATTAGTAGTGGCATAAGCGATCATTTACCAATTTGTTTTTGTTTTCAAACCTGTGATGTATTGGGGAACGACGATAGACTCTTAACTTTCCAAATGATAACCGACTGCCAAATGGGGTCCTTTCGAAGCACAATCATGAAAACAGACTGAACTTCTGTCTTCTCAAAGCAGTGCGTGAACGAATCATACCATGATTTTATAAATATTTTTAAGACAATATACATCGCATCGGCTTCCATATAAGACGGTTGCTGCTAAATAACGAATAAGAAAACCACACCTATTTTAACAATGATAAGAAAATGAATCGCTTGTATCAGGCGTACTTCTGTTCAAAAGATGACGGTGACCGTGCAGTCTAAAGAGGTATCGCAATGAACTCACATCTGTACTAAAATATCGAAAACAGAATATCACTAACGTCTTTTTCATGACGATCACAAGAAGCGTCCTTCGATTGTTTGGCAGTCGATACACGAAGCTCTTAAACGCAGCAAGCAGAATAATTCAACAGATGAACTTTCACTTTCTGGTAAAAGCGCGTCCGGAACACAACTATCTGAGCTTTTTACAGCCATTTTATTAACTTGCCTTCTAGCGCGCACGATGAGTATGCTTCCTCGTTTATCTTGCACCGTGTAGCAGACACAATTTTTTTTACAACCGACAGACGAATTGGAAGTGATCCGTGTATTGATGGGATTGAACGTCTCAACCGCACGGCATGCCATGACATAGACGATATACAAATAAAGCCCGTTGGATTCATAATCGATGTGGTGGCCCAACTCTAGGTATATATATTTAACTTAGCAATGTCGAGTGGCCAATTTCCGAATGACATGAAACTTGCGAAAGTTTCAGTTTTGCATAAATGTGGAGACAAGTACTTAGTTACAAATTACAGACCTATCTCGGTTCTTCCAATATTTGTCTAAGGACTGGAAAATATTATATTGCTCAGAAGAATTTTTTACCCAATAATCAGTGCTAACTGACTTCCAGTTTGGATTTCGCAAGAGAACATCCACGGAAAGCGCTTTGCTATCGCAGAAAGAAATAATAATACACAATAGAGCATGCAAACGGCTGACACTCAGAACACTTATTGACTTTAGTAAGGCATTTGATTTTCTTAATCATTCAGCGCTCCTTGATAAACTTTCGTGTTATGACACACGTGGTACGCCTTTGATATGTATTCATTAATATTTAGGACATCGTAAGCAATGCGTCTCAGTGAATGATCATGTTTCCTCATTGCGAATCCTGAAGTTTGGTGTGCCCGAAGGCAGCATACTCAGCCCTTTGCTGTACAATGTGTATATGAACAATCTAGTCAATATTTGCAACGAAGCACGTTTTATAATGTATGCAGACGACACGAGTTTATTTCTATCTGTACCGAATATGGACGACCTTATGGGACCCACGGGAAACATAGGTCTAGAAAAGTTCTTTTCGTGGTCAAGAATAATCAAGAATAAATGGTCTTAAAATAAATACTGTAAAGTCTAAGGCAATTTTGTTTAGACCTGTAGGTAAGCACGTTATTAGTAATTATGTTCTAGAAATTGGGTCCGACCAGACTGAAATAGTTAAACAACACAACACTCTAGGTGTCTTATTTCAGAACATATGCAATGAGATAATCACATCGAATACTTAGTTAAGAAACTGTCAAACTTTGTTGAAATAGTATGTTCCTGTTGCCTGTAAGTATTAAAATGCAAATTTTTTATGCTCTGTTTAGCTAACAAATTAACTATTGTCATTAGGTTTGGGACACAACATTGATGTCTAATAAAAAAAAAAAAAATTTACCATTTTACAAAAGAAATGCTGCGTTTTATTGCAAACGTGCCTTGCGACACTCAACAAGGCGGTAAGTTGGGATAGTTGGTTTAACATCGTCAAACGTGAAAACAGCGCAAAAAATTGAACAAAGGAAAAGTGAAAGAAGTGCACGGACAAAGCGCTGACTGTCAACTAAAGTTTAATTTTGAGGCGAACCAGAAAAATAAACACAGAGCATAGGAAAGAACCAATGAAGACAGAAGAAATTATACAACCCAACCGACAGGATTTCTACCACTTCATCACCCTCACACATGCCTGCCATTCTCCCTGATAAAAAGGACCTCATCATCCCCCAAGTGCACCGACGGTGCACTCACACATTGCCCCTTCCCCTTTAGATAAAATGAAAAATGCCTCTTGAATCTCCTGGCGGTCTTACTTAGTGGCACATAAGTTTAACGTGCCAGTGGTGTTTTCAGCATCCCAGAAGCTGTCACGCCTGTCACTGCTGTCAACCGAGGGAGGAACAGTGATTTGCAATGTGATGTCAACCACCGAACTCCTTTTGTACCATGCGCAGTGGGGGTTGTGTATCAGATCCCCTTCACATGTGGTAGGGTGTACATTGGACAAACGGGGAGGTGCGTGAACGAGAGGGCGAGAGAGCATTCCCTTTCTCTCCGTTCCTCCCCCGCTGGCCACTTAGCGGTACATTGCAGTAGGTGCGGCTGCGTACCTGTTTTTCATGACCTGACGATCTTGGCGCGCAATAAAAGTAAGACCGCCAGGGAGATTGAAGAGGCATTTTTCATTTTATCTAAAGGGGAAGGGCAATGTGTGAGCGCACCGTCGGTGCACTTGGGGGATAATGAGGTCTTTT